GAAGTGTATCAAAAGCCAAAATTTTATTTTAGATTTGGGAAGAGTGGTGAGAGGATAGAACCCTGCTAGGGAATTGTTCAACCTTTCCCTATTAGTGCTGATGGCCCCCAACATCATTTTCCTGGTAAGATTAAGCTTATCATCACTCTTTCTATAAACTTCTGATTGTCAAAATTTGGGATCCAGAACCTTAAAGTATATCCAGCTACAAAACTTTAATTTAGATTTTGTAGAGTGGTGAGGGTTTAGAACTCGAGTAGAGAATTATTCAACCTCTCCCTACTAGTGCTGATGTTCCCCAACATATTTTTTTCTGGTAGGGTAAGGCTTATCATCGCTCTTTCTATAACCCCCGGCTGAAAAAATTTGGGATGCAGAACCTTAAAGTAAATCCAAAGCAAAACTTTATTTTAGATTTGGGTTGAGTGGTGAGGTGTTAGAACCCTGCTACTGAATTGTTCTAACTCTCCCTATTTGTCCTGGTGACCTTTACCCCAAGACAGAAAGTGATGGGAAATCCAAAATTATAAATTGCCACTAGAACAGAAGGGGGTGGGGGGGGGGACTTCCAATGGGGAACCTTGTTCTGGTGTCTACAAGGGTATTTTCCTCACTTTGGAGAGATCTCCTTCTGTTTCTTGTTGTATCTACATTCTTTGTGATGTAGGAGCACTGAACCTTATAGAAATGTGTTGTAACGCAATAGGCGGTTTACAGTTCACCAGTAACTGTGGGGTCTTGCTGGAGCCCCAGAGTAATTTATGGAAGTTTTTAAAGGTTGAGCTTTTCCAATCCAGGTGCCTACATTATCTGGTTTTTAACCCTGATGAAAGGGGAGAGCTGAGCCCCCGAAACTAACTGGCTGTTACAAAGCTGATGTGGTTCTTCCATCCTTTCAAAACTGTTGTATCCAAAGGACAGAAAGTAAAACATCACCTATTTCAGCAGAGAGGAAGTTCGCCCCTCCCTTCCCGACTGCATTCTCCTGGGATATGTCACATGTCCCAGGAGGCTGCAAGACCATTCAGAAAGTTCAGAGCATCTTGCACATGTGCAGTGGGAAGCCAGCTGTGAACCAACAGGAAGTCATTACCGACTTCCCACATCCAAGATGGTGGTGCCAGTGACCAGAAAACCAGTGAAGAACCAGCCTGGGTGAGGAGAATGTTGGATTTCTGGGCTGGTGTCTTTTTATTAAAAGTCAGCAGCTACAGTATTTGTAGCTGCTGACTTTTATTTTTTCTGTTCTGAGTAGATGTAAGAGAAATATTTTGAAATATTTTAAACTCAAATTTTTGCTTTACAGCCTATTATATTACACAGTTCTATGAATAACAATTTGACTATTCAAATTATTCCCTTTTTGAATGGAGCTTACACATGTTTGACCTTCAGATCCATATTCCGTTCTAAAAATAATGGAAGTGTAAAGTGTTTATGACAGCGAGAGCACCACAGGGATTGAATATGTCCAGTACACGGTTTATTTAATAAAATACAAAAGTGGGTAGCCCATGCATTTCAGGGGCCCAGAACTCCCACTTCCTTAGGGCTTTATGTAGAGAGGGATTGAATATGTCTAGTACATGGTTTATTTAATAAAATACAAAAGTGGGTAGTCCATGCATTTCAGGGGCCCAGAACTCCCACTTCCTTAGGGCTTTATGTAGAGATGGATTCAAGGATGTACTGGACACAAAAAAGTGGAGTAACCGAGATATCATAAGATTAGGACCCCAGTAGCTGCTGGAATGGCACTCCATTCATATGATGGATGTACTCAATTGTTCTGATGTGCTTGTCTCCCATATACCCTCTAGCAACTTTTTGCAATCTTTTTACCCCAGAAACCTTTAAAAATAAATTTCAGATCTCTGGAAACCCATGCTAAAACAAATGGTGGGTCAGTGGGAAGAATGCCTCTTATATTGATAGTCATGGGAACAATGCCCCCTTAAAGTGGTGGTCACACTTACTGACAGCGAAAAAGATCTACCAAGTGACGTTGGACCTGGAAAAATGCAGGTTGGGAGATCAATTAGCCACAGCTCAAGGAACCCCTAGATACTTTTGGAGGAACTTTAGAGTTTCTGGTTGAGATTAGCTGCCCTATAGACTTTACCTGGGAATCATGCGATCAACAGGAGTATCAAAAGGTTTTATCCTTTGCATGATTGTAACCTGGTCTCCTTGGAGTGCAGCTCTTCTGCAACGCAAAAATAATGGAAGGACTGGTTTGAAATAGAATAGTTCTGGGCAACTGGGGGATCTTTTGGGCTGCTAAGCCTTGGTCAGTGAAGTAACATGAAGGGATAGGGAATTTACAAGGGTCTTTACATGTCTCATACTTGGTCTCCAACATGTTAGTGAGCCACTGTAGTAAATGCTGAACTAGCTCAGAACATTCAAAGGTGTTGTTTACCCCTTCATGGTTCAGACAGGCCATTCTAAGCATCCTTGTTGGGAGGACCACCACTGCTGAATGTTGTATCATCACAAGTCCAGTTTAGTAGCAGTTTTTTGTACTTAACATCTGAATGCAGAAACTTCTAATTCTATCTATTAAACCATAATAGCCTTGAATAATAATAAGCTTAATTCTCCACCTAATGGTTATACAACCGCTTCAGGGTTCTCAGACCTTGGTAATTATAAACCATAAATTTCAAGAAAAAAATCCCTGCTCTAGGGACTTCTGTGGACCATAACCTTTTCGGTTGGCGGAGAGTAAAATCTTCACTCTTTTGAATTGCTTCTGGTATGCAACACACAGCTCTTAAATAAAAGAAAGAAGATTTTTACAGCATGGCCTTGTCCCATGCTGGGAATTGTGGTTCCTCCTTTTGGCTGCCATATCACTAAAGAACATACAGCAGTGATGGGAGAAACCACAGCCTCCACCAGGGACCAAGTATCTTCTGCAGCATCTGTAGCCTTACAAGAGAGTGAAGGTAAATATTACCTTTTTTCTTTTAGAGACAATTTGTGATTTAATTGTGGTATTCTAGCGACAGGGTCACTTTAAAGTTAGATTCTATACAATAGTAAAAAAAATAAATTCATAAAAAATTAAATAACAAAATTATGTATTCATTAAAAACATAGTTAAATGTATTTTTTTGAATGAAACTAGAGCAAGTAGCTGAAACTGACTTGATAGCAGCCTATTATTCCATACTAGAACTTATTAGATACTCTCCCAGTCTACGTTCTCTGAGCCAATCAAGTTTTGTCTCTTGCACATGTGCTGACAAGGAAGCAGCAGACAGAAGAGGGACATTTCATCAGTGTGTTGCTCCTTGATTGTCCAATCACAGAATGAAAGAGGGCAGGCGACTACGCAGTATTGCCTAACTGCAGTTAAGAAAAATTAACTCACTCTGAGTACAACCTGTAACAAGCATACTGTATGAATTAGAAAATTAGGGTCAAGTTAGAACTCCTGATCTATATTTTCATGCTCCAAGTAAGTACTTTATAATGCACCAAAGCCATTAGAACAGGATGTATTTCAACTAGTATGCCAAGACCAGAGGTTGAGCATGGCAGCCTCCACATAATACATGGGCTCAGGGGCGGACTGACAACTCATGGGGCCCCCGGGCAATAGGGGATCATGGGGCCCCTGTGTCCTTGTTCAAACTCAAAAAAGCCTATGAAAAAGGTACCAGGGGCATCTCATTGGATCTCGTACTGACCCAACTGACCAGTTTCCAAATGGTAAGTCCACCCCTGCATGGGCTACAATAATTGACCACCTTGTGAAAATACTAGTAGCCTAGCTGTTATGATTCCCTGTCTTCAGTACATTCTGCACCATGGACCCAGAATATTAATGCAGACCAAGAGTTCTGATTTCACTAACTATATACTTATTAAATAGCTGTTTTGCTGTTTCTACATTTTCAACATCAGACACACCTGGACAAATCTAGGATTTTATATACTGTATGTGGAATGTGCAATTATCATGAATGTGTTCTTATTCATTCCACAAGTCAGAGCAGTGTGTGGCTGTTTATGGTGGCTGTTTATTACACCAGTGTTCATTATCTCTGCCCTCTGCTGCCAAATGTGGTTTCTTTGACATTGGCCGTTAGCACACTATGGGTTACGTATTGTGTAGTGGTCTTTTTCTTGAAAACCTCTTTGACATTGTGATACCCAGGGGGGTGCAAGTCAGGTGCCAGAACATTACTCAGCTCTCATTAAGCTGGTTACACTGATTAGTACTCAGTACCAGTAATTATCAGCAGCAGCATCTGCTACTGCTTGTGCTTTGCAAGTAAGGTGCCATCAATAAAGGCAAAGTGAGGAGGGAGACTGGAAAAGGCTAGGAGAAATTGAAAACTGGAAAGAAGAAAGGATGCAAGGAAACTAAGGTAGAAAGGCTGATGTGTGAACCTGGGGGCGACCTGATTGGTTGGCCACAGCAATCAATCAGGTTTCTACTTTTAGCTGCCAGAAAAAAAGGAAGTTGATTGGTTGCAATGAGCAATGTGTTCGATAAATCGGCCATCTAATGCTCAAGAAGCTCTACTGTGAGATTCAATGAAAACTTAGAAGCTAATGCTGGAGGACAGGCCTTTTGTAAGTACTAAGATTCCAGGTCCAGGTGCTTTTCTGATTACACTTACCTGAGTTTTGGTCCTTGGGAAGGCTTTGGTTAAATGTTCTGTGAGTGTTTTCAGAAAGGCAGACATATTCAGGATTCACACGTTTCATATCTGCAGAAGTCAGATATGTTAAAGTTACTGGGATTCGGTAATGATTCACTTTGCACTTTGATGTATGTTTCAGAAAATGCACCATGATAAGAACTAGCTGTGGAAGAAGTAAGCCTTCAGATGTACAGCCTGCTGACTATCGGATTCTTAGCTTAGGTTTCATACTTTGCTTCATTTGTGCAACTACTTGACTAAAGAATAATAAATATTCTTTATAAATGTATTAGCAATTATTCTGATGGACGTCATTTACTAGCTGTCTATCATTCCTAGGTGATCTGTGGGCCAGAAGACTCCCCTGGTGATCCTGATGATGAAGACCAATCAGAAGCCAAGCCTCAGCCGAGACCACGAATCCCTCGAAAAAAAACTTCCTCCCCAACCAAGCCTCGTAGTTCCAACCCGTTAAACTCTACAGTTCTTCAGCTTCTCTCTAACTCCCCGGAATTTTGGGATGTCCTGAACAGTCTTTCAGATATAGATCACAATCAAGAACCTTCAATTCCAGCAAGGGTCCGGCGCCAGTCTGTGCTCAGGTCAACCGGAAGAGCAAAGAAAGTCTTTGGTTGGGGGGACTTTTATTCCAATATCAAGACTGTAAAGCTTAATCTCCTCATCACTGGGAAAGTGGTGGACCATGGGAATGGCTCCTTCAGTGTCTTCTTCCTTCACAACTCAACTGGCCAGGGAAATGTGTCTGTCAGTCTTGTTCCACCATCCAAAGTCCTGGACTTTGATCTGGAGCAGCAGATGTATGCCGAAGCAAAGGAATCAAAAATTTTCAACTGCCGTGTGGAGTTTGAAAAAGTGGATAAAGCAATTAAGACAGGTCTGTGTCCTCATGATCCGTCAAAGACCTGCCATCAGCAGCAAACTCGTAGCAAGGTCTCTTGGACATGTTCACACCCTTTCAAGATTGTTTGCGTGTATGTCTCCTTTTACACCACAGATTACAGACTAGTGCAAAAGGTCTGCCCTGACTATAACTATCACAGCAGCTCTCCATATTCACCATCAGGCTGAACTGAAATTATAAGTGCTGGTAGCAATGAATAGCCTAGATTGGCTAACTTTGGGTCTACCTTTTATGGACTTCCTGTGCCTTGGTCTGGTCCATTGTGGTGTGTGTTCTTGTGGAGAAAGTGGAAAAAAAAAGCTGTGTAAGTGATGTGCTGGACATCAACTTGAACCACTTCAATATACACACAATATAACAACTATATTGTTATTCCCCCATTGATATGAATTAATGTTTGATCTCCCAGGAAAACCTAAACGGAGCTCCAAAATCTCCTTCATGTCAGTTTTTTTTTACTCAAATAATAACTGGTTTCATCTTTGCTAGAACAGACACATGTTCTCTAAATAGAAAGAAATTTAGGTGTGCATCATAATGAGACAAAACCCAGTGAAAATATGAAAAGGTTGACTATCTAAATTCACATTTTGGTCCATATTAATAATTTTGGGAGGTGTTGTCCACAACAATCATTCACATCACCCCCTTCACTCTCTAGAGTAGTGGTTTACAATCTTGCTGTAGTTTGTCTGTTAAGTAACAAACCCCGGTCTGAAAGTGTTTACATTGGTTGCCAGTGACTCCAGAATATCTACATACACTGGCAGCTCATTCTTTAGTGTATAGATTAAACATAGTAGACATTAATCAATATTTTATGCAAAGTGTAGTATTTCACAAGATTTATATTTTTTTTGTAGAGTTTAGCTTATGAGTCATAATTCCCATTAGTCTTGCAGATGGACCTCTACAACACGGCTGGGCAAATCCAAAGACTAGCCACGACACCTAAAATATTACTACACCTATAAATATTACACCTAAAATAATGGTGTTGGATCTTTTAGAGCAGAGGTTGTCACCTTATAAAGCATAGGGGCATACAATGTGGTCCTTGACGTAACCAATATATGCAATGCTACTGAAGACCATCAGAAACAGCAGGCATATTATAGGAGATGGATAGAGACTGGGGAGATGCTACTGGTGTGGTTGGAGAATGGAGACAAGCTGCATGGGGCCAAGACTAGGGACATGTTACATACAACCACTAGAGATAGACTGCCATTCAGAGGAGGACTGACAACTCATGGGGCCCCCGAGCAATAGGGGATCATGGGGCCCCTGTGTCCTTGACCACACTAAAAGCACACCCAGCAAAGCCTATAAAAGGTACCAGGGGCATTTCATGGGGCCCCCTACCGACCCTGGGCCCTCGGGCAGTGCCCGAGTGCTCTAATGGTCAGTCCCGCTCCTGCTGCCATTACAATCCATTTCTAAAATCACTGCTCTCACTCCTACTGCTTACTGCTGGGGTCTGAGTGTTGAAGGTTGGGCACATGGTTTTCGGAGGCTCTTCTATGCTCTGTTGGCTTATAGAATGGACCACATGAAGTGTGGATTTCCACAGCCCTGCCCTAGAGGTGCACTAACCGCAAGTTGAGAAATCCTGCTCCAGAGCAATAATTTAGGCAACTACCAGGGGCGGACTGACCATTTAGCCACTCGGGCACTGCCCGAGGGCCCAGGGTCAGTAGGCAGCCCCATGAGATGCTCCTGTTACCTTTCATAGGCTTTTTTGGGTGTGGTTTGAGTGTGGGCGAGGACACAGGGTCCCCATGATTTCCATGAGTTATTATGCCCAGTCCTCCCCCTATCAGCTACTATAGGCAACATGCCCTGTTTCCTTGTACTAGACTCCAGACATGTTCTTATGTCCTACATATGGTCACCTAGTTAACCTGCCAGACTATAACCTGCCGGAGGTTGTGGTATATTAATATAAACCAGTCATTTTAGCCTTCTTTCCATGTGTAACACTTCTTTTCCAGCCAAATTGGAAGATAATATAGGCATGTATGACTGTTTCGTAGAAAGCTACAACTCTCTCCAGTCATCCTGTCTCCCATAGGTTGTACAGTGACAAAATCTGCCAACGTTGTAAGGCATAACCCATGACAATATTACCTCAGTCTATGCTCATGTAAGCTGTACGGTCCGCGCCTGTTATAATAGACACATGTAACTATATGATACAAGTCACATATTATAGCCCACCATGTCACCAATAACCTCTTATCTACTATAGCTAATGCCATTCTGCTCCACTGGGATTCATTTATTGATTTAATAAATGAGTGCAAAAGGGCAATGCTCGTGCTCCCGGGGTGAACGAGAGAAACCAATCGCATTCAACTTTACTATAGTCACACAAGAAAAATCTGAACGCCCATCGGTTGCTATGGGTGCAATTTGTTCCTAGTCTTTATGGCTTTAATAAGTCTATTAAAAGTGTATTTAATAAAGCAGTGTACAGGACAATGAGGATGAGCAGTAAACTAGATCTGTTGCTTCTTTTGCTCTTTGATTTATTAAATCTGCCTAGCTGTAACACTTAATGAGCGATAAAAGGTCAATACGAGTGATATCTGAGAAGTGGGGGATAGCTGCTAGGACACCAAAAAGGCAACCAAATCAAACCTTCCAAAAAGTCATATAGATATAGGTATAGCGCTGCACCTATATCTATATGGCTGTAACACTTACAAAGAAACTTTTATTTCTTATTCCATTATATATTTGGATCAACTAAAACATAGTAAGAAAAACCCTAATATTGGTGGCTATAAAACCTAATTTAAAGGACAAAGCACAAATCACATTAAAACATTCTAAAGGGAAATCCCTGGAAATAAATGATAGAAATCCCCCCGACTTGGAGTCCTCCCTGTGGTAATATGAGTAGATCCCACCTTCCAACAGTCTCTTGGGGCAGCCCGAATGGTTCTCATAGAGAATAGGTTATATGGTCCATCTGCAGTGCCGGTTTTTCTCCAGCAGGAGGCAAAACCTTTAGTTGTAGTTTCTGGTTTTATACAATGTATTAGTGGAAAGACCTAAAACATACATTATAAGGACTTGTCCTATTCCACAGTGAATAAAACTGAAAGGCGGCATCTTTTTAATGGACGAAGAGGAGGACAATACAACAAAATGACCAGACATTAATCCCTTTGAAGTATATCCGCAAATAAAACTTTTTCTTTTGATTGGGGAGAGGTTAGAGCCCCTGTTGGGTTTCATATAACTCTCGGGAATTTTCTTATTTTGATTTATAGAGTTAAAATGATTTTGCAATCTTTTATATCCAATCCTATTTAAAGCAAATCGAAACTCAAAAACAAAAATTGTATTTATTGCCGTTTAGTAGTCCTTAGATGTGGTAGCTGCATTAGTTTCTCTTTATTTAAGCTACTTTTATTTTCTCTAGGTAATCCGTCATATAACAAACTTACTGGCCTAAGGTGACTCTGTTCAATCCTATTTAAAGCAAATCAAAACTCAAAACAAAAATTATATTTATTGCCGTTTAGTAGTCCTTAGATGTGGTAGCTGCATTAGTTTCTCACCAACCGCTCCACATCTGCCTTCCCCCTCTGCCAATCCCTTCATTGGCTCCCGATTGCCCAACGCATCAAATTCAAACTGCCAACTCTGACCTACAAAGCCATTCACACAACGCCGCCCCAAACTACATAACTGACCTGATACCCAGATACTACCCTACCCGTGCCCTCCGCTCCTCACAGGACCTCCTACTCTCTAGCTCCCTGGTCTGCTCCTCCCACGCCTGATTGCAGGACTTCTCCTCTAGGACTTCCCCCATCCTCTGGAACTCCCTCCCCCAATCCATCAGACTGTCACCTACCCTCCTCACCTTCAGGTGCACCCTGAAAACCCTCCTCTTTAGAGAAGCCTACCCCAACATCACCTAACACCTGACCTCACCTAACAACTAACCTCCTCCATTCCTCCCACCACTCCATCCCCCACAGCCATCTCCTCCTGTGCCACCTTCCCCTCCCTCCTAGATTGTAAGCTCGAAAGAGCAGGGCCCTCAATCCCCTCGTGTATTGTATTGTTACTGTCTTGTCTCATGTTCTGTCCCCCCTGCTACTGTACAGCGCTGAGCATACCCTTTGGCACTATATAAGTACTGTATAATAATAATAATTTAAGCTACATTTATTTTCACCAGGTCAGATAACAAACTTACTGTCCTAAGGTGACTCTGCTCACTGCTCCACTATATCTATGAAGGGGAGGCGGGGGGGGGGGGGGGGGGGGGGGGGGGGGGGTAATTATCTAGGTTGGGCCCCAAACATACCTTATCTCCATTAAAGGAGGGATGGGGAGATAAATAGTTTACAGAATGAAGCTAACATTCTGTGCTTTCAGTTGATCTCACAAGAAGTGGCAAGAACATGGCATTTCTGGCAAGATCAACAGGTCTTACCCACATGAAAGAAAAATATATTTTAAATATATGTTAAAAATATTCTTCCCAAATATATTGGCATATATTTGAAATACTACACTTTTAGCCATATTCAATATTTTAAAAAAAAAATATATTATATAAAAAAAATATATATATATATATATATACTGTATGTTGAAATGTGTTTTTTTATATATTAGAAAATGTATGAAAAATATTTTTCAAATATACTGTATGTCTTTAAAAATACATGTAATCTAAAGTTTTTGAATGTGAATGCATTTACAATTTATATGTAAAAATATATGTTAAAATGACTTTTTGATATGTTAAAAAAAATCAGAAGAATATTTTTTTTTTTAATTTATTTTTAAAAATATTTTTCATATATTTTGTAATGTATAAAAAACGCATTTCACACATATATATATATATATATATATATATATATATATATATATATATATATACATATACATATATATATGTAATACATATAAAAAACATATATATATATATATATATATATATATTATATACCATATATATATATATATATATATATATATATATATATATATATATATATATATATATATTATATATATATATATATATACATACACATATATATCACAGTGGCTAAGTGGTTAGCACGTTTGCCTTGCAGTAAATGGGTCATAGGTTCAATTCCCAACCATGGTGCCTCCTGCATGGAGTTTG